AATTAAGAATAAAAAAATGTTACGTTTTTCTTAATAATGTGGTTGAGGGACTTTTCAAGAAAAAAATTGACTTGGACCCTATGCAGATATATTTTCAAAGAAAAGGTGTACATGAAAGGCATTTCAACAAATGTTTACAAGTTTATTTCAATCTTGCAACATTTATGTCTACTGAAAATGAAATGAACATATATATATATATATATATATATATATATATATATATATATATATAACAAAATAAGATTTCACACACAGTAATAATACATTTCATTTTAAAACAACAACTACACTTAAATAATTTAAGTTAAATAGACTGGTCCTCTCAAAAAGGGAAGGAAACTACATGCATGTCAAGAAATCAGGGATCAGTTTGACGTATTTATATTGTAAACAGAACACCCCCCCAATCTAAAATAATAGAAAATTAATGTTTTTCTGACAAATTGCCTGAGTAGAGGAAGTTCTTCTGAATGTTAGGCAACAAAAATTATTTGTGAAAATATTTTTATCAAGAATTGATACTAATTGACATTTATGTTGGAAAGTAAAGGATTGTTTTGAGTTTTGTTTGGCATTTACGTTACATGTTTTTTTGTTTCAATAGTTTTTTTATTTTATTTTATGCTGAAAAAGCTTTATATTTTTATATAGTAATAATACAACAATCTCCTTGCCCCAACATATTCTAAGCTAATAATGTAATATTTAATTTCTTTTTTGAAAATGGTCCACTGCAATGTATCATTGCTAATAATAATTCTAGTCATCATAATCTGTTATTTGTGAATAAAAAGATTTGATTTTTTTAATGCTTTGTTGTTTATTTTTATCAATTTTTTACTTACAAAGAAAAAAAAAATTTTGAAATCGCTATTGTGCCCTGATTTTTAGGAAATTTTTGCCTGCCCCCTATCTTCAGCTAAATTTATCCCTGGATATGATATTTAAAAGAAATAAAAGGTTTATTTAAAATTGTGTTTAATTATTTTCAATACTCTAAGCACTTCATTCTTAACCACTTCAAAGTCAAGGGTCAATCGTTATCTATCCTCCTTATCCCCTTAATCTTCATTTGCTACCATCTCTTTCATTCATATCACATGTTTCATTCATCATTATCATTTTAACAGTAAACCTCTACCTTGAGTAGCTCTCAGCCTTTATATAAAACCAAAGTAAATCTTTTCTATTGCTTTCAGCTATTTAAGGATATGTTTGAAGAACATTCTATTAAAAAAATAATTTCACTGAAGTTATGTTAATTTCTTTCCAGAATTCATTTTTGCTGTTTACTTAGGTACCTCCACGAAATCGCTAAAAAAAGAGCATAGCTTGATGAAAAAGACGCCAACCTTGGCAAAAACAAAATTTTATTGTCTAAATGCTTATGTTATTATTAAGAGGAAAGACCAAAGTGTTTTTTTAATTATTTTTAAAAAATTTTCCTTCTTTTTAGAACATTCTAAATTTTGATTAAAAAAACCTTGTTTCTATTTGTATCAGCGGAACTAGTAAATAACATAGACAATTTTTTTTTTTTTTTTGGTATGACACACATTAATTTGAAAAATCGTGCAAAAAATAAAATAATTATCGGATGTTAATGAAACTTTCAGGAACTATTCACAGATGATCGAAATTATTATAAATATTTTTTTTTTTTATGAAAGTCATGGTAGAAATATTTTTTAAAAAAATATTTATTACCCCCCATAACTAATTTTATGAAAACGCTAGAAATTGATCGCATCGGTTTTAGTGATTACAATAATTAAAAGCACAGGGCTTTGAGGAATGCAAATCATGTTTTTTTGTTTTAATTGGATACGCAGTACCTGAAAATCAGCTCTGAATTGTAACATACAAAACTCAATAAAACAAAGATATTATTTAATTTCAAATGCTTTTATTTGCTTTTATTTGCTTTTATTTGCTTTTATTTGCTTTTATGAATATGGACAATATTTTCTGAAAGCAAAAAAAATTTTTCGATGAAAAATGAATTTTTAATACAATTATTTGTTATTTCATTAATTATAATAGATTTTACATTTAAGTTGTTAAAATATTATAAAATTAGTTAAAAGCCGCATCGGCTTTCATAAGTGTCCTTATGAGATAGATCTTTTTTAGTTTTTGTAAATTGTATCATTTTGACTAATCAGAAGATCCCCAGTAATTAAGAAATGTAATTTTGTGTTTATAATCGAGCTGTAATTATAAAATACGGAAGACCAACCAGAATATAATTAAGTTGCGTTATTTGAGTTAAGCATTGTTCTCCGCTGTTAAGGCCTTTACTTTTGCGAAAAACACGTGTGGAGAAGTTAATTTGATTTTTCAATTTCAACTGAGAAGGGTACCTACAAGTATCAGTATCATCTTATGAAATTTATATGATCTTATTTTTATATTAATCTCAGTTATGACATTTTTCCATAAATGAAATATCAAAATTAATAATAAAATGAATGCAAATACAAATAACAGTAAAATGTAATAAATGTACATAAAATTATAGTATTTTATGTACAATTCTGATAAAATTTCATAAGAAAGGTACCTATAAATTAATTAGATACCTTTCTTAAGAAATTTAATTTAATGTCACTCTTAACAGTTTTATTTTAATTTCTTTACAATATATTTCCCATAAAGCATCATAAACGTAAAGGTGAAAGCTAAGTACAAAAAAAAAACAAAAAAAAAAAATTAGACCGCTGAAAGTTTTTCGTTAAAAATAACGGGTAAATAATTTGTTCACTTAAATGTAAATTATTTCACTTTTCTCCTTCCGTAGAACAAATTATCCTCATGGAATTCGTAAATATATCATTCATCACATGTCAAGAGACGCGAAAGTTTATGACCTGCTTTGTTTTATTTTCAAATTACATCTTTTTGGCACAAAAGCTAAGTTAAGTTTGGTTCAAAATATTTTAAATAAACATTATAATTTCTGATTTTCTTAAAATAAGTTTTGAAAAAAATAATTGATATTTAAAAAAATTTCAAAGTCAGATTTCCATTTTTTTTTAAAAAAAAAAAAAAATGGTCAATTTTGCTGACAAAAAAAAAAACTAGATTTTTAACGAAAATTTCGGACGTGCTAGGAACGATTAAAAAATGGAAAAAAAATACCCCCAAAAATACTTTGACCTTTCCTCTTAATAATAACATAAACATTTAGACGATAAAATTTTGTTTTCGTCAAGTTTGGCGTCTTTTTCATCATGCTATGCTTTTTTTTAGCGATCTCGTGGAGATACCTATGTTAACCTTTATTTGTTTCTTTTGAAAATCAAATTTATCAAATTTTATTCTCAAAGTTTACTATTTTGTTACTCCAGATACACCACCAATTTTGTGGTACCTTTGATTTGAGGTTCATGCCATCCATTTAGCCAGACCAAGAGAAATTGCATAATAAGTCGATAATACACCTATGACCTAATAATTATGCATATCTTGTATTTCTACAGCATCAGCTGCCAGAAACTTAAACTATAATTAAATACAATGCCATCTGTGGCTGCTCGATGAATTAGTTTGGTAATTGCAGGAAATTCAAGTGTTTGTCCATAATTATGTTCACATTAAACGAGATGCTGGCCTATTAATTGTCAATAAAAAAAAAAAAAAAAAGTGTTGCACCTGTATAGAAAAACAACTTTCTTACCTTCAGCAAATTAATGTCTGAAAATACTAGGTAAAGTTACACAAGATTGTTTTAGTGGCAAGGGACCAGATCAGGTTTCTTGGTAGCTAATTTATGTTAGAGGCAAGATGGCATCTATAGTTAATGAGTTTTCTTGTACTCTTGTAATGACATTCAAATGAGAAGAACAGAAAATCTTTTTTTTTCTCCCCAACCAAGCATTTTCCTTACAGTACAAACATTTGACACAAATTCTCACTACTTGTTATTTATTTGTTCTTTTACATTAAAAATAAAAATAAAATAAAAGATTTTAAAAAATGATTTCAAGTTTTCACCAAAAGTATTTATACTGCATTTCATTTATAACGTAGAAAAGGCCTCCAAAAACCACCCTGTATCTTATACCCTAATAGTTGAGTTTGAGTCATCCCTGGGGTAGAGGATACGAATACTAAAACAAGCATATTTGACACATTTGAACCCTGAGGAATTATTAATGTATGTTATATAGCAAGAAGTATTTTTTTTCTTCCATATAAATAGTCTAAAAGATCTCCAATATTACCAAAAGTTTTGTTTTTTAAAAGCATTTGTCATTTAATCAAGTATTGACATAAAAGTCTTTTGTTTTTTTACCCCAAATAAGCAATCTTGAATGAGATTAAAAATTAAATAGGATTTAAATTAAACTATAGAATTGAAAAGATCATTTAAAAAACTAAAAAATTAATGAATGGCTGGACTGCCTGCTGGGCAATCTTCTGTGAAAGGTTGTTGACCTTTGGATGTGATTGCAATGGCTGTGGTGGCACTGGTTATGCTGCTGCTGCTGCTACTACTGCTGCTGCTGCTCAGGAGATGTGGTTGTGTTTGCTGTGATTGTCCTGTTTGAGATGTGTGCTCCGAGAACACTGCTGTGGGTTGAAAGAAAGGCTGTTGAAAAAAAAGTAAATCCTTCCCGAAATCCTGCTGCACTTTTAACTGTGCTTGAAAAGCAACACCAGGCTTTAATTTTTAAACCCCATTTTGTTTGCAATTCTTATTTTGTTATAATTTGTTTTAATTTTTGGTTTTTTTGTCCATAACAAGAACCTGCAGATTTTCTGAAAATAAAGATCTCTATGTTTGAAAGTTTGTTTTGGTTTTTTTTTTTGGCTTTTTATGGTAAAAAGACACAATGAGACAAAAGAAAAACAAGGGTTAAATACAAAGAAATAAAGAAAAAAAGAGAAATTAGAAACAAAAAAAGAGATAAAAACAAGCAATCTTATTTAAAATTTTTTAAAAAAAAAAAAAAAAATTTTTTTAATTTTAGAATTTTTTGATGCATTTTTTGTTAATTGAAAGTTTCTTGTGCAATAACAATCACTGTCCTTCCAACAAGAGCCCTGTCAATTGCTTCTTGTACCAAATGTTCACTCTCAGCATCCAAGGCACTTGTTGCCTGTAAGATTAGCGTTTATTCATTTTCTAATCATCTTCATTACTTAATACAGAGAAGCAAATAGAAACAAAAATATCAAAACCCCATTTCCTTTTGGTCTGTCTCATCATCTTTGTTTTTATCGAAACCATTGGAGCTTCAAGAATGGTTGTGATAAAAACATCTCTTGTTTGAATCTCTAAAATATCCAGATGTGATATGTAAACATAGGATTGCCAACCATCGCACAAATGCAGGATTCTCCCACATTTTGATACTGAAGGCTGTGTCCTGCATCAGTTAATGCTCAACACATTTTTGTTGAACATTTTGAGAATCATCAACTTAAAATTATGCATAAATTCAGTTTTTTTTTGTTTGTTTTTTTTAAATACAAATTTGTTTTTTTCTGAATGTCTGTGCCAATTTTGTCTGAGGTTTTATTCCAAAGAATACATACATTTTCTTTGCTTACATTTCATATACAAAAATAAAAGTTAGCAGATATGGGCTTCAAGAGATTCAAACAAGAGATGTCTGAAGAAAAAGTAAGTGAATCTTGCTTGATTGTGAAAGAATTCCATGGCTGAGAGGTTGATATTCTTTATGTAAAACAAACACAGATTGATGCAAAAGTGGTTTGTGTTAATACATGCATGCATGCATATATACAATTTAAAAAATATATTGTAAAGATATCTTAATCAGAATTGTTCTATGTACTTTGTAGTTATCAAAGTTTTTAATCACATTGCATTTCAGATATCCTGTTGATGAAAGAGATATTGTTAAATGAACCACTAACATTTCCAAAACAGTGAATTGGAAGAGATGACACAATTCCCTGGCCACTTCATTCAGCAGATATCACTCCCCTGGGCTTCTTTCTATGGAGTCATGTTAAAGATATTATGTATTGAACAAAGATATGGGACATCACTGATGCCATTGTTTTTTGATGAGGCTATGCTACAGCAAACATGGCAAGAAATAGAGTACTGTCTTGATGTGCCTTGTGCAACTAATTGTGCCCATATAGAGGTAGATTAAATTAGTTTTAAGAAACTTCCATATCTAAAAAATTTTTAACAATTTGTACAATATATATATATATATATATATATATATATATATATATATATATATACACACACACAAATAAATTATGACCAGAATAACAAAGAGGCAAAATTATGAGTATTTTTGTACATTACAGATTCATACACTAAAGGCAGAAAGTTTGACGTTACTCTGCATTTCTTTAAAATGAAATATTTTTGTATTTTTTTTTTAAAGTAAAAAAAATAAAATTTCAGTATCTATAGTGTTTTTGTTTTTTAAGTCTTTCTCCTGGCTTCTGTTACTCCCCAAAAAAATTTGGATTCATTTTGCTAAATTATGAAGATTTTGTACGAGAAACATTATATTTTGTTTTCACCAGTCAGTAAACATTTTTTTTTTGAGATTACCAAGATTTTCAGCTAAGTTAAATGTTAATACAGATTAATGTTGTGAACAACACATGTAGATCTCTGTTTAAAAAAAAGAAAAAAAAAAAAAAGAAAAGAAAAAAAAGATTCTGACAGTATTTTGATGTATTTTTGTATTAATTTTTTTAAATTTGAAGTAACTTGCACAAAATAACAGAATCAAAGCTGCTAATCATTGAGATGGAGGGCACAAACTTAAATTTTATTAAAAGAAGGCTACTTTCAAAGACAAATTGCCATGAAATTGAAGATTTCTGGAATATAGGGTGCAATTACAAAGGCAATTAGAAACTGGTGCAAATGTTGACAGAAAAAGAGTCAAAGCATCAAAAGTGAAAACTGCTGTTGAAGATAAATACTTGATTATTAAGAGCAAAAGAAATAGAAGGAAAACTTCTCCAGAGCTGACAGTTAAACTTAATTCCTCCTGACAGCAACCAACTGTTGCTCTCAACTGAAAAATCATAACCATCAAGAAACTGCTGAAGTAGCATTGTTATTGACAAAGAAGTATAAACTGAACATTGAAAGAGAGGAATAATGTATTGTGAAGAGATGAGTTCAAATTTGAAGTTTTTGGTAGTAAGAGGAGAGTGAGAAGACTGAATGATGAATGCATGGTTTCAAAAGTTAAGCATGGTGATGGATCTGTTATGGTGTGTTTTTGGAGTGTGAGGGCTGGAGATTTCATTCAGGTCAAGGGAATCAGGAAAAAAAAGAAAAAGAACAACAATATCATTCGATTTTGCAAAGACATGTTATAACATCTGGTTTATATATAATTAGAAAAAAAAAATTCACCTTCCAACAAGACACAATCTAAAACACTCTTCTGCTCTTCTAGAGTCAAAATTACTTCAAACAAAAATAAAAGGGAACAAAATTTTGACCTCTTTCCCATTGAATTATTATGAGATGAATTGGATAGAAAAGTTTGAAGAGAATAACCAAAAAGTGAGAGTGAGTTTTTTCAGTGCTTGAAGAATGTTTAGGAATTTCTGCCGTTTTTTTTTTTTCTTTCAAAAACTGTTGTAAAGAATGCCAAGAATTTGTAAAGCATTAATTAAGGCAGGTGGTGGTTTTATTGATGAAAACAAAATATGATGCTGTTTTATGAGAATTTTTATAGTTAACTGCTTATTTTTGCCCAAATAAAACCAAATACTATATAGTTACTGAAATTTTATCTTTTACTTTAAAATAAAATACAAAAATATCACATTTTAAGGTATTTTTTAAACAAATGCAAGGTGGCCCCAAATTTTTTTGCCTGTGGTGTGTGTGTGCATATATATGCATATATATATATATATATATATATATATATATATATATATATGTGTGTGTGTGAGTGTGTGTGTATGTATGTCCATATCAACATGATAAATGAAGTCTGATGAAGTCCTGAGGAACGAAACACATAAGTAAAATTTTTTCTTTTGGCATACAATTTCCCCAATACTGTTTCCCCCCCTCTCTCATATATATATATATATATATATATATATATATATATATATATATAAATAAATAAAAAGAAAAAACAGTAAGATATATAATCCGGTGTTCTTATAGATATTTTATTTTTACAAAATAGTGCTCAATGTAAATTTACAGAGCATTAATATTATAAATTAATTGATTTAAAATATGTTTTTTTTTCCACTACACAGTTCTAACCATGTTTCAAAATGGAAGCTAAAAGCTTGTTTGGCAGCTTGCAAATATATATATATATATATATATATATATATATAAAAAGGTTAAATTGGGGAAATTACATTTCTATAATTTTATATCCTTTTCAAATATGTTATAAATATCATTTAAGTAACTTTGAACTGCCTAATATAGAATGCTTCCCTAGGATTTTAAAGACTTACATATTTTTCTTGAAAATTTTGTTTGTTCTATAGAATATCTATCTTTACTTTCATAAATTTGTCTTTAAGAAAGATATATTATTAATTCAAGTTCAAATACAAGTCAAATGACAAATTCTTAACAGTTTTATATTTGGGAAATAAAGTAAAACGTCATACCTCATCTAATAAAAGTAATGATGGATCCATGATGAGGGCCCTGGCAATGGCAATTCTCTGTTTTTGGCCACCGGAGAGTTGAACCCCTCGTTCACCTACCATCGTTTCATAGCCTTCTTCAAATGACAAGATAAAATCATGAGCATTGGCTTGTTTGGCAGCTTGCATAATCTGCATTTAAAAAAAAAAAAATAAAAAATAATATGTAATATGCATTTTGAGTAAAATCTAAAAATCTCTTCATTTTTTGTCCAACTGAGTGTAATAATTGATAGAAAGCTATTAACAAAGTATAGCAACATATAGTATTAGCCAGATTTAGGTCTTAAGAGGTCCCTGGGCTAATAGAATTTGGGAGCCCCATTGAATTTAAAAGACCTACACCAACTAGAGGGACCCAATTACTCTAAATTGTTTCAAATTAGTTCAAAGGAGCTCTATTAAGAAAATGGGAGAAGAGAGAACGTCACTTCACTTATCCTGAATATTAAAAAAAGCACATACGACAAAAAACAATTACCTTATGAAATTTGGAAGGTACAAACATTTATTATACAGATATAAAACAATATAGCAAAGTACAAATTTTTACAGAAAAAAAGCTTGCACAAAAATTTCCTTTCATGCACCTTATTAAAGACAAGGCAAGATAACATAACAGAATTATAGAAATAATTGGCTCTAAAAAGATTCACAATACAAATTTTTTCAAATCATGAAAGAAAAAACAATTGAGAAGGTGATATGAAAACCATTAAAATTACCTAAAAAAAAAAAAAAAAAAAAAAAAAAAAAAGGTGCCCCCCACCTCATAGATAAATGTAAAACCTATATGTATTTCCCCTCAAGAGTCTCAGGGAGGTTTTGAGATATTTTTGTAATGGGGTTCCATTTTCTTCCTGCAGGCCTGTCTTGTGGCTTTTGCTGTGAGAGTCTCTGGGAAGTTTTACATTATTGTGAAATGTCTTTCATTGGCATAACTTTTAAGAATGCTGAAACCTTTCTGCCCTTTGCTTTTCTGGCAACTTTCCCATGAGGAAGCCTAAAAAATTTCCACAGCCAGCTTTGCCTGCTTCATATCTGACATCTAAGGCCTCTGCCAACCAACTTTGGTTGGATGTGACATCTAATCACTTCTGCTACAGCCTGCAGGCTCCATACCTTTTGTCATTCATCTGATGAACCATCTTAAATATCCTTGGGAGTGAACAAATGAGCTTTCACTTTAAATTTATGAGGGGACAAGCCACCCTTTTCATTGGACAAAAAATATGAGAGTAATATATTTTTTACAAATTTGAAAAACAAACTCCCAACAGTCCACCATGACAGTTATTTTTTTAAAGCAAACTCCCACAAGCAAGTGTAAAAAGCAAACTCACTATTTAACATTTATTTACTCACACTTTTTAATTATTTTGTATTATTTTATACTAGTAACTAATAAAAAAATATATATATAACATTAAATATGAAAATAAACAAATCT